TTTAATTAAATCCAAATTTAACCCGGTAATTCTTTCAGCATTTTCGGGTTTGGGGTTCTGAAAAGAGTTTTTACAGTATTTAAATTAATAGTTGTACCATACCCTGTATTATAATTAAATACAAGGAAGAATAAATTAATATAATAAAATATGATATAGACTCTCATAAGTATTAAAATTACTAATCTTGCAATATAATATTGACTAAAAGTTCCATTTTAGTTCTAAATGTTACATGATTTTTTTTTCCGAAACTAAACAAAGTTTTTTTTCTTTTCATCTCACCTGTAAATGATTTTTGTATTAATATTTATATAATACACAATATCATTCAATGTATCCAATTACCTACCAAGTTTTGAATAGTAATCAAATTGTTATGCAAAAATATCTTATAGATTCTATTGTTATCTGACCACTTTTGTTGTGGAAAAACTGAGAAAGAAAGTACTCGAGCTTCAATTCTACTGTTGTACATAACATCCTAATAATGCCCTCCATACTTTTTTGAAATTTTTCACGTAAAAATTGTCTCAAATTATTACTTTGTGGGTTTAATGGACCTTTTCCTTGTAAAAGATTGAATAAATCTTCATTTATGAAATGTTATCTCTTATTTATTACTGCTAGAAGAAGTTGAAACAAAATATTGTGGGAACTTCATGGGCAAATAAAGTCAAATAAAATAAGCAGTAACCTGTATTTCAGGCATATTAAATACATTTTGTTTTTTAATTAATATTGGTGAATTATTATCTAAACTTTATTTAAATATGTATAATACCTACATAAATTAAAATCAAACCAAGAAATCTTAAAATGCTACTTACGTACTGAAAAATCTATTGTTTTAAAAAGTGCACTTACCTTTAAAACTTACATCCGTGTTAAAATATAATGGCAAAAAAAATCCAACAATTCCCTAAAAACGACAGTCGGTGGAAAAATGAACAATCATTGTATAGGCACTTTATATAGTGTTTTTCACGTCGATTGTAAAGCCGACTCAGTAGTATTGGAACCGCGATAGTCCAATTATCTACACTGGTGGTTTATATTTAACAAAAGCAAAACAAAAACAATGTAAAAACCTCACAGGGGATGCGAAAATTACTTAACGACGGTACAGGCATTCACCGATCGAACTATGCTTACGAAAAACGTTGTCGAGTCGGTAATTTCAGTTTCTTTCTCGTTACACACGTAGCTTACATTCTGTTCACAACCATTTCGTTGTATTTCACGGAAATGGAGGTTCTTTTTTTCTCAACTCGTATTATCTCGATTGTTAAAAAAATTTCGAGTTGGCGTGCTCTCTGTTTTCCTCCAAAGCCGAGAAATGTTTACAGTAAAGTCTAGATGCTTCTAGTGGGGTGGAGAAACCAATTTCTAGCTCGGTTTCCAACCAAAGACTCATGCTTACAGCACTACGGATTGTTCGAGTTGTGCGGACGGATCGGAAATGGAATAAAATGAAAACATTTCGAGCTTATATCCCTAACCCACGACTGGCCCCGGTAGCGTGGCGTACCATTTACTTCTTATTTTGTTTTTCTTTCCGTTTTTACCGTGTTTTCCTTTTTGTTTCATTCTTGTAAGCCCCCGTATATAGAAGTGTCTGATGTTTATACACTCGCAGCAAGAGACTGGTGCGTCGCCGTGCGATGATTTATCAGCCTCGAAGAATCCGCTATCCACGCATCCTTAATGCACCTATTATTTCAACTTTTACAATTATATGTACTCTTAAAAATAAAAAAAGGTCGCAAAGTGACGAAAACGCAGACACGTAGTTCACTGATTCCGCATTTATTGAGTTTTCATCGAGTTGCCAATGAACTCGATTTTTTAAGAAACATCAGAGAAAAACGGCACCCAGTTTTCTTGACCACCCCCCCAACGGATGTGTTAAGCTACAGTAGATAACTTTGAGCCCTTCGAATATTTTTAGCGACGAGGAGAGAACATTTGAAGAAATGATTTTTCCATAATCCTTCACTTCCGATCGTCAATATTATTCACTCGGTGATAACAGAAAACGTGAGAACTGATAAACATAATTACAATACTCGTTCGAAATTGGAGGATTGAATATAATAATGAAAACTGATTGTCGCAACGACCATACGATTTATTTAGTAACGAAATTTCAGATTTGTCTTTATGACGTACCTATCGTGTGCATAACAATAAAAAGAAAGTAACAACGGCTTTCGATCGTGACACCCAGATCGAACAATGGTCCAACGAAAGGTGCAACGGTGAAATACTTCGGACCGTCGCACCATCAATGGCCACACGAAACCGCTGGACGTGATTCCCTGGAACGAATGAGTTTCATCTGCAAAGTGTAAACCAGTCAGTTGGGGTAGGCTATGTTCAGGGACTGAAACCGAACCCAGAATAACCGATTCTGGAATCCAAGAACCCTTATAATATTAGGAACCAGAACCGAACCGGAAAGGAGTTTTTAAATATTCAAAGAACCAGAACCCTCATTATAAAATGAAAAATATTGGATGTAACAAACATTATTAATTATGTTTTTATTCTAAAAGTTTCAAAGCATAAATAAATTTTTAAGATAAATGTTTTAAATATTTTATTTTTAATTTTAATTTTTAATATTATATGCTGACAGAGAGACGACTTAAGGCTAAACTGATTAATACTCCAATTTCACCAATACGAGGTTTATTTCAGTGATGAATTAGGCAACATATCTTATTATGTATAGTTAAGACTTAATTTAGTTTATACATATTACTGTTCTTCAACATGTACAAACTGTTTTTGGCCAAGCAAATTGTTATTATTTATTATTATAGATACGAATTTGAATTACAACATAATAAGTTCAAAAATAAAATTTTATTTTGCATATTTTTCATATTATTAAATACTATTTTTAGGCTTTATTATAATACTATTATATTATACATTACTATATAGCTAAAAAACTTACTGCTATATACTTTTAATTTTATGTTGTCGATAATATGGAATTATACTAGGCAACATTGTATCATATATGAAAATAAATGTCTCAAAATATCACTTTTCAACTAATTTATATATATAATTTTTAAACATATATCAAAAAATACTACGGAATAATTTTAAAAAAATTTTATTTAGAACCCTATCATACTGGAACCCGAACCCGAACTCGTACCCTTATTTTGTATTTTTCAATAACCGGAAACCGAACCCGAATCTTTTAATAAAATAATTGAGAACCGCAACTGTAAAAACTTAAAGGTACCAGTCCCTGGCTTTGTTACGACGCGGAGAAACACCTCTGTGCGCCTACTGTTCGGTTGTCCGCGCGATTCGTCATCAATAATAGATGTATCCAGTAGCGTAGTTACGGGAAGGTTGTGAGGGGTTATCAACCCCCCCCCCCAGATTTTTTATTTAATGATATTTGATTATTCTTTATTAATATTTACATATTATAGTAAAATATTTTGATGTTACTATGATTAGCTGTATATTAAAAATTGAGTAACAATATAATTGTCATTAAATACGGGACATAATAATAATACTATTTTAAATGTAATATTATTACATATGACCTAATTTTAAGATATACCAAGAACACTTGAAAACTGACTTTTAAACACCCCCTCCCTGAAAAAAGTTGTATCTACGCCACTGGATATATCGGTATGTTGAAGGAAAGTCCGTGTTAATGTGTTCGCCGAAAATTCGCGTATTATAATGAACCACTTGAGAGAGGACGCCGAACTGTGTCGAACGAAACGATAAGGATTTAACGCATCCGCGCGGTAGTGCTGTCGTTTTTACGTGTACGGCATAAGACGTTCGTTGGTTTTTTTTTATTATTATAATTCAAACGATTATGCTTACGAATAACTATTACGGAACATTATTCGAAAAGTAATTTTTTCTTGACCGGAAGAATGTATTTACAAGGATACACGACTTTTAGAATCGGAGTAATTGTTTTACCAAATAATAATGATATCTACGTATCGGTTATTAACCATTATCATTATCATCATTATCGGTTATTAACCATTATCATATGGAACTTGTTCACATGTATTTTCATAGAAATTGTAAAGTATATACTTACAATACGATGATTTAAACATCATCGTATGAAATATAAAACGTAAATAATTGTAACAAAAAAATTTGTATGTATTATTCTATGTTTTATATAATAAAAAATAAATGTTACATTTGCACGTAAAACAATTTCTGGACATGATATAAATTTGAAGTTTTTACACGATTTCTATAGAATTTTTATAATCTACATGAACGAGTTCCAAATCATAATAATAAAAATTATATTATTAACTGATAAAATATGATATTAACTGATACATGGACAATGGATATTATTAATATTAGAAAAATAATATCACCGATTCTAGAAGTCGTACATTCTTGTAAATACATTCTTTCCGTTGTTAAAAATTTCCTCTTCAAATAATGTTCTGTAGCAATTATTTATTCAAGTGTAACCGTTTGAATTATAATAATAATAAACCAATAAATGTCCTATGCCGTAAATGTAAAAGCAACATCACCACTACATGGAGCCATAAATCCGAACCACATGTGTTTCGCTTCAGCCGGCAATGTTCGTTATACTCTATCTAGTGTTCGTAGTCATTCATGCGGTTGCAAATAATAGTTTGTCGATTAAATGTATTTACTCCGTCAATCTCGTTCGATTTTGCCGTTGTAAATATCAAAACCCGGTCGAAGTCGGTTGGGACGACCATCACGGTAGAACTACGCGACGGATTCACTCTGCCACACGCGTAGAACTTCGGTTAAAGTACCAAGGTGGACTGAAAATCACTGAATATCGTGGGATCGCGAGCAAGTTGAAAAATATCGACCCCAAATAAATCGAATAATTGATAAGGGAGGTTAAATTTAACATGCGTTCGATGAATCATCACGAATCGCCTTTACGGGTGTACTGATCAATGTTCGACTTACCAGTCCGTTTGTCAAATATTTGCTTTCGCCAATACCTTTAACTGTTCTAGTTGGTTTTCAATCGTTGACATGAGCTTACTTTTTTCTTTAATTTTCATATCCATTTCCATTACGGAATTTTCCTTTTCTTTTTCACGTTGTTCACGTAGCGTTTCGATATTGTTTTTTATTGATTCAGTCGTTTCTCTGATCTTGCTAACCTTTTCCAGTGCCCGATCTCTCGACGATTCCATTAATTTGATCACTACATCTTGGTCGTTCAGATGACTTTTGGAAGCAGTTATGTCCTTTTGCAATTCAATATGCTTTGCACAGCTATGGAAAATTTTCGACTTCATGATCTGTATCTCGGTATTGATTTCATAAACTTTCTTGTCAAATGTACATTTATCATTTAAACGATTATTCTCTAGCGTTTCTATTTTGGACCTTAACTCCGTGATTCGTTTACCGTGGAATTCGACTTCTGCTTTCTTATCAAGTATGTTTTGTTTGACTCCATCCAATTTCGCTAACTTATCTTTCAACTGATCATTCAGTTTTGCATCCATGGTCTCGAATGACTTTTTACATTTTTCACTTTTGATCCTCAAATCATTAATAAGTAGGATCATTCGTTCGCTTTCGTTTTCTTCTGTATTAATAGTTTTTTCCAGTTCAGCGTGTTCAGTTATTTTTTCAGCTAATTGGTGTTGAACATCAATCGTCTTTCTATCAATAGCTCTCTGTTTCAGTTCCAATTCTTCTAAATCGTTCTGAAGCCTTTGTTTGATCTTAACCGCATTGCAATGTTGATTTTTCAGTATTTTCGCAGTCTCTAAATCAGTTGACACATTACATTTTAATTTTTCTATGTTTTTGCCGTATTCATCTAATTTTACATCGAGTTCGTTGTTTTCACAGAACAAACTATTGTATTCTTTTTCGTTACTTTTCAGTTCGATCTGTAATGTATTGAACTCGCGACATAAAGTATCATGCTTACACAATAATGCAAGAAAATCGTTAGCCTGGTCGTGTTGAATTGAAGCCATATATTCATGTTTTTCACACAATTTTCTTTCGAGTTGATTCCTTTCAGATATTAACTTTTCACCGCAACACATTTGAGTCTGGAATTCCATGGTTATAAATTTAAAAAAGAAATTTAGCACGAGATTGAATTTAGTTAAAAATATGTAATTTATATTTCTCGAATTTTTTTGTTGTGTTACATATATAGGAATTGGTTTCCTGGTGATTACAATATTCTACGTTATAAACAGCTTTGGCGTTCACATATATACGTTTTATTTTATCAAATTTATTAATATTGGCCAGCCTAAAGTTTTATCGAATTTTATAAAAACTTAGTCATTTTATGTCTCAAAAAAAAAAAATTCTTAAAAAAAAATGAAAAGAATTATTATACACAATGTTTTATACCCAGATAATATATATATATATATATATATATATATTAATAAATAGGTAAATCATTACATGTAGGTACACAGAGTCCAACCTTATTTTATCAGTTAAAAAACTATTTAATAAGTGGACGAAGACTAAATGATTTCTAAATAATACTTAATTATTTAAGTTGAACACGGGGAATATTCTTTTCAAATTATACAACAATACTAAGTTATATTTTTTTTTTTTGGGCGGCTTCAAAGCAATGCCGCAACTATACTAACTTAGGCCCGTGTATAAAAAAAAATAATGCCCCTCTCCTCCTGCGCCTAGGCACTACAGGGAAACCGTACCTTTATTCTATTGTAACAAAACTATTTTTAATTTAGATTTTAAATGCCGCAAAATATACGATAATGTGTTTAAAACAAAATCAATCAATTATTGTTCAATCTCCATTAATAATAATTATTACAAAAAGATTTTCTTTTTTTTGCTTTCTAAATATTTTTCAAATATAATCAATATAGGTTGGAGCCATGGGTTCGTGGAACACACCCAATTATTGCGGCATTGCTACAAAGTAATACGGGCTACAACAAAATCCGATAGCGATAATAATAGCCTTTCCTACATTTTTAAATTGTATTATTATTATTATTTTTTTTTTTTTTTAAACTAAGGGTTTCAAGTGCAGCCCCCTCGCATATAAGCGGATATTATAATAATTAACGTGGCGCAATGAATAGAGAATACCTGCAACAGTTTATTCGCTAAAAGCGTACGGTATAATAATAATTATTCGATACGATTGCGGCATGAACAATATCGGTTCCGGGGGCTACACGAATATCACTAAAAATAATAGCCATAGTGGGTACGCTGAGACAAGGGCGGATCCAGCAACTATTTACAGTCTGGGCACTTTATAGGAGAAATTATGTAGTACAACTGATCTTAGGGAGTATCTTGGGGAAGACTTAGACCCCTCTTAAAATTAATATAACGATGTTATACTAAAACTGTTGCTATTTATTTTCATCACTTATTATTTAGTTCTTCTAAACATACTTTACTTTTAATATTATTTTTTTTCTTCCAACATGGATGCTATTCGCCCCCAGTGCCCCCTGGATCCTCCCATGCACTGATTTCTAAAAGTGAAAAATTAGTTAGAACACTTTGCACGTCCCTTCAAGTCAAGCACGGCAGGCGTTCTGCTCGTAGACGTTTTTGAAATTATATTATTTTGTTACCGATCGATGAGTTTTTCGGTGACAAGTGTAAACGTTGCGGAAACGCGCGAGGACAAACGATTGTAAGCCATCACGATAGTAGTGGTGACGCCAAGTCGCATCAAAGGAGATATTTTACGCGATTCAAACGTGTCACAGAACCATATCATATATCCTCGTATGTATCACATCGTTACAATCCGTCGCTATACATGATTGTTGTGAATAGAGATGGGATTAATATTCTCTTAAAATCCTTAAAATATGATTTTTTTATGTCGTTTAAAAAAGACAATTTATTATCTATATATTCTTTAAAAATACTAAATTTATGATTTTTTATGTCTTTAAAAAAACAAATATTCATTCGATATTATGTTAAAAAAAAATTATTATTTAAATTACTTGGTTTAGGTGTAAATTTTAACGATACGTGGTTACCTTGATGTCTAGTGATTCATTTTTGTAACAACCTAGAAGGATATAAAAATAACTCATATTGAGAATATTGTATTTGTTGACCAATATTATTAAAATGCCGATGCACGTAATACGTTCATGTATGTGCAGACAAATAAGAGGCAATTTAAAATTATTTTCTTCAAAAAAAATATTTACAAAAATAAAACCTTCAAAAATAATAATGTTAATAAAATATTCTCGAATATTTTCTAACGTATTGAATATTCGCTAACCGCTAAAATACGCTTTTTTATTTTTTCCTGTGTGTTCTGTGTTTCATAGACCGTAAAGATATCTCACTCCCATTTAACTGCATAGATTAGAAACTAATTTGTAAAATCATAAAAATCCGACCTATAGTTATGAACAATAACCGTCTCCGTGTCAAACAACACTTACACGTAATATTGTTTTGATTATTGTATGTTTCGCACACGGTTTCTAATTCATTTATTTGTTTAATCGTTAGTGACAATGTAGCGGACACGACATGCACAATAATCAGTTTGGAACGGACTTAGGGCAAAAAAACATTCCGTAGTCTGTTTCCCCTGCCATCGTTGCGGTCGCTCTACGCTGATCCCCAACGGACCAACTTCATTGGGACTTAAGTCCTCTGCTTAGAGAATGGGGTACAAGTGCTACACTGCACTTTTATCCCAACAAAGTGAAAACTATGTTCGTCACAGTACAGATTCCTATCGGTCGTTTCGATGGAAAACAAACATTTTTTTCTATATTTAATCAACACTTTTAACTGTAGACATATTTTTCGGAAGAAATACCGTACACGCAATGTCTCTTGTAATTTTAAGTTCGTTTCGTTTTGTTACCTTTGATTTTCATGCTCGTCACACGCTGTTATTCACAGTTAGTTTAACCGTTCTCGCCCAAAAAACTATACAACTGCCGAGAAAAAATTTTAAGTATTGGTTTTATACGAGGTTAGGAGAAAAAATGTAATGCCGTTGCTTTCGATTTTCACTTAGTATTGGCAGTTATATAGATATAACCAGTGCTCAAATTGGGAAAGGTGCGCAGGGGGACGGAGCTTATATACTATTTTTTTTTTTTTTTTGCGTACGTTCATACTAATTAATGTCCAAAATAATTTTTATGTGAATTTCAATTTTCGTCAGTTGGAAAATTAATTTTACGATTTATAATATCAAAACTATTTTTGTAATTAAAGATTATATGGTGGTTATGATAAGGGACAACGTCATCATTTCTGGAAAAATATAAATAGTAATGTCTGTGAATTTGGTGTATTATACTTTATACATTGTACGGTTTGTTATTAATATTGGCAACCGATGATATCGTCATTTCGGAAAAAATAAATGCTCTCACTACGACCTTAGACTAATCTTCTAAGGCCGTGGCCCGCACTAAAGAGTAAAAATAGATAAAAACAAAAACCAAATACCTATATGATTATATCATTCGATTCATGAGACTGCTTGATTGCCTACAATTACCTATGTTAATTATTATTTTATTTTTATTTTCTATTGTAACATATAGGATGTTGGTATTGCTATCAAAATATATTATATTTGGAATTTAAATATTTGTTTAGCTGAAAAGTGGTATTCAAAATATATTTAAGTTTTTTGGGGAGAAAGAAGGACGAAACCCCCCACGAGCCCGTGTCAAATAATTGCACACGTGGTACGCAGTTTTCAAATCATTGTACTGAGTTCCTCTACTTAATTTTTCCCAATTCGAGCACTGGATTTAATAGATATGTAATAGTTCATTATACGCTTTCGCGTTTTGTTCCTTATACGTCTTATTGCGAATTTTATCCTGTGGAGTGCATAGTCTCGTATTCGTACCTTCGCGATAAACGTAACTCGTTAAACGTTCGTTAAAATAATTTAAAAAAAAAAAAATTAAAAATATATAATATAATCGTCTACGCGGTTGTCCGTAAATTCTCAACGTTGCAGTAAATAACACGTGCGTACATGTATTTTGATTTTTAATGACTACTACATTGCTCACATCGCCCAAAAGCGAACATTAGTTTTTTTTTATTTTTTCAACAACGCTTAGTACCTACATTTCTCCAATGAGAATTTCGTTGAGAAATATTACATTAATGTGAATGGGTACCCGAAACCATTTGATTAGTATTCATAGTAGCGTAAATTAACCAGTTTTTTCGTGGTCCGTACGTAAAAGATGTTTGTGCCAGCATAAACAATATCATATACGACCGAAGTGCTAGTTTTTTTTTTTTTCAGTAATTGAACCAGCACAACTTTTTTAATTTTCACACGCGAAAATTGCAATATTTCGATTGACGATTTTCAGTTTCAGGCGTCAGTTTTTATGACGATTTTCATGTAGAACTTAGTAAACCACACAGTACCCACACAAATCGCTTTAGTCGACAGTCATTATTAATGAAAAAATAATTACGTTCGGGAAATCTAAAACATTTTATAATCATTTTTCCAAAAAAAATTGTGAACATTTAAACAAACGGGAATATTCTCAAATAAATTACATACTTTTAAAATATAATATTATTTGATTAAAATTGTAGTTCTACTTAACAGTTTACTGGGAGTTTTCATAAATTATTAATTCAAGCGAAAATTATTTTATTACTATTCGTAAACTTGACTTTTAGGGTTTTGGTCAAATGTAGTTTAGCATTTTTTAAAATTATATTTATCTGAGTTATCCACAAAACTCACAAGTTTAGAAGAATTAATTAGCTAATTACTTAACAGCTTAAATATATTTAGTGAAATTGAAAATATTTTGATAATATTTCCGGTCCCAATGAGAAAGTAGTAAAAGATACAATTAAATTAAAATATATCTTAAAAAAATAAAGGATTTTAAACTATTAAAACTTACTCTGAGGCATTTGATTGAATTTTTGGGGTGGCTATAATATTCAATGTAAAATAATCTGCAGGAACTTTGTTCCCATACCCCATCCCATGCACAAATAACACTTATTACCATTAACAATATAGATATGTTTAAATTGTATAAAAATAACGCTAAAT